GAGTCAGAAGGGCAAGGAGGCCCACCAAGAGGGATGCCCAAGAGCCAGGGGCCTGGTGTCCCAACTGGCCTGGGGGGGCCGGGGCTAGAGGTGTGGTCCCCTCACTGGGACCTTTAGCTTCAGAAGGGGAACTGGTGGCAGGGAGATATGTGGCCTGGTATGATGGCGGCAGTGTCCGCCTGAAGGGAGGAACCCAGGTGGGGTCCTACAGCAGGACTCTGGGGGCCCATTGTGTGGGACTGGCACATATGAGAACATCATGATGTCATCTGCGAGGCTTGGGCTGCGGTGTAGGGGAGAAATGGAGCCGCAGATAGTGCCCCCTAGCAGTGAGGCAGAAAATGGGCAGCCTCCTGCTTAAATTACTTCTACTAATTAATTATTAAGATCAAGGCGTGGTGTGTGAGAAAGTGGGCAGTTACCCCAAGAACAGGTGGGTGGACTGCACAGAGTTCAGCCCTGAGCAGGCCCCCTGTTACATACCTAAATACCTTTAAAACTTGGGCTTAAGACTTCTGAAGTGCTTTTGAAATTTTCATCCTAGCTAAATGAGTGTTTGGCAAAGCCTGGATAAAGCTGAAATTTATTTCTGAGGTGGAATGCTCCTTGGGTGACATACTTTACCCATTTTTAGTAGAGAACAGCTCTGCTTATTGTTTTGAGATGGAAGCAATTGAAATGAAGATTTGTCTCTGGAGAAAGCAGCTTTCCGTGGAAAGCTGGATATCAAGTTGTTCGACAGCCTCTTGTCCTCATGACTGTTGAGCTCAGGAGTCTGAGCTCTGCATTCCTTGCCAAAGTAATGATTTGACAACACTTTCTGAGAGAGAAACAAACTGTCATAGAGTACCTGCAAGTCTTCATTAGTATGCACAGAGGCGGGTCTATATCAGATTAAATGCTCTACATTATCTCAAATTAGCAAACTATTTTTTATGCTGCATTTTACTCTTCTATGCCAGCAGGATGCAATTACATTTCTGTCTTAGTTTTTCTTTGTCTTTATAATCAGTGGGTGCCATTAAATAAATACTTTAACATTTTATTGACCCAATAACACATTTGCTATTTTAGAAGGTATAAGAGCAAGTTGCTTTTGCTGTTTTATTATGAATGGTAAATCTCTTGCAGTAATCATATTGCCTGTTTCTTGTCAGGCTACTCCATCCTATTTTACAGCTTTAGCTACTGCTTTTTCGTTCCCATCTTGATTATGTATGTATTATTATTATTCCAATTAAATTACTGCCAGCAGTCAAGATTCTCACTCCTTTCTCATGTTGGCATGTACTAAACCTTTCATTGAGAGTATTATATTCATTTCTGGGAGGAGGAAACAGATTTCAGATACTGTAGCATTAGCAACTATATTCCTTGGATAATCACCCTAGCACATGTTTCTTTGCCCATGACAAGGGCGATAGTTAATAAGTTATCATGAGGTAAAAGAGGGCAAAGGATTGCAAAGTGTCATCTGCTCTGTGATCATTACCGATGTGCATATGCTGACTCTGCCATAAATGAATGCTTATGTACATTTGTTTATATGTCTTATCTCCTACGATGTAGTGGACTAACTTTCATTACCCTGGATGGTAAGTTTGTACACTGTACCATAGAGCTGCTATTGTACTACAAGACCCCACCCTCATTCTCCTTGCAGTCACTTGTGTACCTACCCCCTAAGAAATGCCACTTCAATAATGACACATTTGAGCCATTTTATATCATCGTTGAGTTATTACATGCAGGGGGTATCAAACTTAGTTTTCCTTATTTTGTCAGTGACTGTTATTGAGGCAGACCGTCAAATGGCATAAATAAAACTATGCCATACCACTTTAAGTCAATGAAGTTACGCTGATAATGCTGGTGAAATCGGTTGAGGCAAGCTGGTTCACAGTACCAGAGGATTCATCTCTTTGCCTTATTAAGGCTGCTGCTTGTGACTGTCAAAAATATTTCTGGGGCAAATAACTTTCATGGAAAACCAATTTTCTTACTTTTGAATTTTCAAAATTTTCCAAGTTCTCTACAGGGAAAAAACTTGAAAAGAAAATCTAAAAAACTGTTTAATTGGGTTCCTTTACCCCCATTTTCCCGCCTTTTTATAACTTTTCCTACCTTCTTTATACTTCTTCATAGAAAAAAATAGAAGGAAAAAAGGGTGGAAAAAGCAGCAAAACCCTTCAGAACTTTAAAAAAAAATTTTCATCAAAAAATTGAATGCATCTTTATTTTAAAACTTTACAAAATGTTTTCAGAATTATTTTGGAATCCCTGCAGATATTTTCAGTGATCCTGTTTTTTACTGTTCTTTTCAACCATTCTAAATAGAAAAAGAAACCCAAATTCTCTGGTTTAAGTAGTGCATATTTAACTCTTGAGCCATGCCATATACCCATACTTTAATGTTTACAGGATGATATAGATTGCCATGAGCACATATAGACTTTTAGAAAAGGACAGGTCTTTATGTTGATAAGTAAAACCTTTCATGTAAATAATGGTCTAGGCTACTTATAAGATGGTCAAAAATCCCAAGGCAAGAATGAATTGATTCAATCTTTGCAGGTTAGTTTAAGCTTTGTAGATTGAACCAATAAGCAAGTGAACAGACATTCACTTTTGATTCCAGAAATGCAGCCACGTGCCTGCAGTGGCCCAGGCTAGAAGCCAGGGTGGTGGTGGGGGGGGTGCTACAGCACATCTCCCTGCTCATCTGGAGCAGGCAGTTTTGGGCCAAGTCTAGCCCAACCACCCTGTAAGGGGAAGGGGGTTGCAAGGGCGGTGCAAAGCGTCCTGGGATGTTGGGGGACTCTGAGCTAACTTGAAATTGGAGGGGATCTGGGACAGAAGTTCAATAAAACAATTTAACCTAAATCAGTTAAGTCTGATACTGCATCCATCCAGTTTTATCTTAAACCAGTTCTGGCCATTCTGAAAGTGGTTTACATGCAATTGACTTCTGTTACATTACAGATTTTAACGGGTTTCCAATCACTTGTACTGGTTTATGAATAATTTCTGTCCCTAGCCCCAGTTTTTTTGTAGGTAAATATTATGTGACAAGTTTACACAATTATTTACATACGGTTCATAATGGTAAGCTCAATGGCCTTAAATAGATGATTTGGTGTTCAGTAAAATTCATTTAAGATTTTATGCTGGAAAAAAACAGAAATGGTTAACTTGGATGCATTTCTGACATTCATCTATATTTTTCTTTCTGACAATGTGTATAGATTGTAAGCTTTTGAGCAGAGATTTTTTTTTTTTCCCCCCCCCCATGTTTTGTACAGTGGTTTGTTTTCACAGATGATGACTCCTGGAGGGTCCTCTAGGTGCTGTGGTAAAACAAGTAATAATAATCTGTAATTCAGCTTCTCCTGCTTTTTTGTTTTCATTGTTAATAGGTAGGAAAAAGTTAAGTCATACATTTGTGTTTCTTAAATGCTGCATAGGAAGTCATTAATCACATCTCCTAATGTAATATACAATCACAGAATCATGGAAAATTAAGGCTGTAAGGGACCTCAGGAGGTCATCTTGTTCAACCCTCTGCTCAAAGCAGGACCAACCCCAACTAGATCATCCCAGCTAACGCTTTGTCTAGCTGGGTCTTAAAAACCTCCAAGGATGGAGATTCCACAACCTATTTGGGTAACCTTTTCCAGTGGTTAACTACCCTCCTACTGAGAGTTTTTCCTAATATCTAACCTAATCTTCCCCTGCTGCAACTTGAGAACGTTGCTCCTTGTTCTTTTATCTATTACCACCGATAGACCATCTAGCTCCATCTTTTTTGAAACCACCCTTCAGGTGGTTGAAGACTGCTATTATATCCCACCTCCGTCTTCTCTTCTCCAGACTAAATAAGCCCAGCTCCCTCAGCCTGTCCTCACAAGTCATGTGCCCCAGCCCCCTAGCCATTTTCACTGTCCTCCCCTGAACTCTCTCCAACTTGTCTATATCCTTTCTGTAGCAGGGAGCCCAAAACTGGACACAGGACTCCAGATGTAAGGGAGCTGTGAGTTTGTTGGAGGGAAAAGCAAGGTCTATTCTCTGTTAATTTAATTGTGAAATTTTAGATATGAATGCATCATGGAAATCGGATTTTTGAGAGAGACTAGGGACTACTTGGACAAAGTGAATAACCAGATAGAGTTTTCCCAGGAAGCTCTGTAGGTACGGACAGTCTTGAAAATTTTTAACCCTTTTTAGGTGACTAAATGAGACCTCTTCTGATAATCTGGTCTTGAATCTTTAATGCATGGAGTCTAACTGCACTTCCCAAGCCAATTTCACTAACACACAAGCTGTCCCTGGATATGAATGAGCAGCCAGAACCCTGTATAATACTGAAAGGAAAAATGGAAGAATCATTCATGTGTATGTAGGGTATGTGCATTGCAGGCACCAAGTTAGACTGCCTGGGTATCTTTGATTTGTTTTGGCTTTGTTTCTTGTTCAATGTGGGCTTCTGTCCCTGTAGTGCAGTGCAGGTATCTGGAAGCAGATAAAACATAATCTCTGAAATTGTGTTGCTCACAGGCTGGGAAGCAATGATTGGTTTAGTAAGTTGTTTTTGATTGCTTTTGCATGTAGCCAAACTGTTGTATGAGCTAATCAGAATGCATTTTCTCTATTGCATTGCACTGAATGTAAAGGCTGTGGAGTGTAGTTGGGCATCATAAAGGCCCATAGCTAATAACTTCTGTCCTTCCACAGTAGAATCTGATGTGAGCAAACAGGGTAAAACCTTAATAAGCAACAAATGAACTACAGCTAGGTCCTTAATTGTAGCTGTGCTGCTGCTGTAGTATTATTTAAATGATACCATTTCATGTCTTATTTACGTGGGATTCAGAGAGATTGTAATGGTTCCCGTGTCTGCCCATTGATGTACTCTCACTTTTGTCCTATCAACAGGGTACTTTACTTTCCCTGACTAACCTTCAGTTCCCTGTACAGCAACTTTATTTATTTATTTTCTACAGTGGCTGAGAAGACCAAAGAACAGGTGTCTAATGTTGGGGGAGCTGTGGTGACAGGAGTAACAGCAGTTGCACAGAAGACAGTGGAAGGAGCAGGGAATATTGCTGCAGCCACTGGCTTGGTGAAGAAGGATCAGTTGGCTAAACAGGTTTGTTTAATTAACAACTTTTAAAGATAGGAATATAAACCTCTGTAATGGAGAGCCACTGTAAATTCTAAGGAGAATTGGTTCTTGGCAAAAGGAAAACATGTATCTTCCTTGCTCTGGTGAAGGTATTTATGCAATGAAATTTATGTTATGATGTAAAAATGAAAAATCTGGAAAACAAGTATGTTGTTTTATAGCTTGCTTTTTTTTGAAAGATGATGAAGGGATTTAGGAACTTCAGGGGGAATTTGATACCTAATTTCCTTTGGCCCCTTGAACAGACTAGCCTAAACATGGAGAAAGATTTCAAAATCTATGTTGGTAGTGCTCCTAAACTCCAAACCCTCTAATCAGTTAAATTAGAAGCCTGAGACCTGAATCATATGACAGCAATGATCTTGGAGCATACCAGGGATTGAACCAGGTATCTCTGCAACTAAAAGCATAAGCAACTCGTATCTTCCATGGATTGAGTTTAAAAGGGCCCTGTACTCGCCATAGGATATATTCATGTGCTCATATTTTTTTTTATATGCTCAGAAGCAAAGTTTGCAGCAGACTCCAATCTCTCTTTGTAATGAGGTGAATTCAAATAGCCTCTGAACTTCCCTAGACTTTGACAGTCATCTTTAGTGGGCATATCTACATGTGCATTAATGTGCAATGAAACCTAATGTGCCTTAAGGGCAATGCCCCTTAAGGTGCATTAAGCAGGTGTCTACACATGGACGCCTTAAGGTACCTTGGGGTCAGCACCCTGGACAGTTCCCTACATGTCCGTGCTCTAAGCCCCTCTTCAGCAGGCGGGAGTGGGGTTGTTGTTGTCACTAGTGTTTGCCTTTGGGCAGGGTTCCTGGCTGGCAATGCAGCGCTGTAGGCAGTGGGACACCTCACTGCCTGGCCAAGATTCAGGCACACTTAGAAGCTGGCACTGTGGCTCCCCAGAGAGAGCAGGTAGGTTGGGTCTTTGTCTACCCTAGCACCCGGCACTGCATTGCTTGCTCCAGCTGGCATGCCTCTATGCTCCTGCCTGGTGAGATTTTTCTCTGGTGTGACTCTATCACTGGGCATGACTTTCCCCTGCACATGCTGCACCCAGCGTGCCAGGGCTCAGCCTTGAGGAGCTGATGCTATCCACTTCCCTGCCAACACTGCCTATGAGAGAGGCAGCTTCAGCTCCTCCAAGCTCAGCCCAGGCATGCTGGGTGCAGTGTTGTGGGGGGGGAAGTAGCTTTGGATGCTGGAACTGTGCAAAAGAAAGCCCTGCCATGCTGGAGCCATGCCAACTGGAGCAGACAATGCCACGCCAGGTGCTGGGGTAGATGCAGACCCCTGTCTGCCTGCTCTCTGGGGGAAGCCACAGTGCCAGCTTCTAAGGGCACCTGAATCCTGGGTGGGCAGTGAGGTGTCCCGCTGCCTGCAGTGTTGCACTGCCCAGCCAGGAACCCCACCCTGGGGCAAAGGCACATTCTTTGTTCTTCTGCCATTCAGCTCGTGGCTCCATACGCTTGGCTGCAGCAGGTGCAGCTGACAGCATTAAGGCACTGTATCGCATCTACACTTGGCTTATAGCACCTTAACTACTTGAGCATAAATTTGATACCAGCTTTATGCAGGTATCAAATTTACTCCAAAATCACTCTAAGGCACTATATTTAAGGCACATTAAGGATGGGCATGTGTAGACCTATCCTTAATGCACCTTACATATAGCCAGTAATATGATGTTAGTTTCCTTATGTTGCCTTAAGGGTACACATGTAGAAGTGTCCAGTGTGTCGTAACTGCAGTTATTTTTGTTTCAGCACAGAAATTGTCCTATACTGACAGTTGCCTCGTTTTGGTATCTGAAACACTGCACTTGCATCCTAATACCTACAAGAGGGAAAATATGTGATTTCAGATGCTAAATTATGCTAACTGTTGATAAATAATGATTTATTTAATGATGACCAGTGTGGTGTTCTTCTCTCTGGCTATTTTTGCCTCAGAAGAAACCATATCACTGTATTATGTTTTATGTACAAATATATTTTAGTGTTACAAAAATAAGAGAAAAGAAAATAGCTTTTTCAAAAGAATGAGTTTTAAATGTTGACCACTAAACTGCATTTAGACTGAAAGTTTGATCTGTATGATATTTCCCCCCAATTTTGTGTCTAGATAAGTAGTTAATACTAACTTCTTTCAAGTAACACTTCTGCATTCTCATTATCTGTTATTAAAGTGCGCTTTGTCTTTGAACCCTATGTCTGTTTTAGAAAAAGGCACCATGCACGATGAGTGGAATGTTTGGTGCAGAGAACTAGATTAGTTTAAAAACTATTCTACTAGTGGTTTTGTTGTTTGAAGCAACTTTAATCATGGTTTTTAATCCTTTTCTGTTCATGTATAGAGAAAATGCTGCTTAATGTGGTCTGAACTCCTCTTAGGAGCTATTTGGAAGATCAAGAAAACAAACTAATTGCTAGGGTATTTAGACTGCTGAAAAGCTGTAAAATTCTACATCCTTAATTTCTTACAAATTGGGCAGGATCTCTCCAGTGGCTTTAGAACTAAATTTGTGTAATTTCCTGTGAGGTGCATTGTTTGAAGCATTCATCTCAGTAGTATATCTCATAGATGTCAGACTTACTACAGTATAACTTTTTTAATTTTTCTGATTCCTGGCTTTTTAAAATTGTAACCTCTTAATTTAACCTACTTCTATAATACAGATCCCCTGATATCCTCTCTTTCCTGATTTTTTTGGCTAATTTAATTTTCTATAGTGGAGTTTTATAGTTTTATCAGTTCTATACATCTTCAATAGAATAAAATCATGTTTGTAGAACAAAAAACATCCATAATGTATATTTCTATTATTTGGAGACTATGAGAGACACAGTTACGATACACAATTATTGTATTATTTCAAATATACAAAATCTGTTTGTTTGTTTGTTTGTTTGTTTGTTTGTTTGTTTGTTTGTTTGTTTGTTTGTTTGTTTGTTTGTTTGTTTGTTTGTTTGTTTGTTTGTATTTAGGCTGTCTGGGGAAGTAGGCAATTCAGAAGATTAGCATCCAGATTTCTTAGGCTGCTCTGCAAATCTTTGCCTTACTGTGTTTTTAAGAGTTGTAGCAGTCTAGAAAGTGTCAGCTTACAAAATTCAACCAGTTTTTATAGCTTTTTATGACACATAATATAAAAATGAGTTTAGTCAAATTTTCCACATTTGGTTTTATGCAAAATATGGAAAACATCTGCTAAAACTGGGAGTTTTTCAAATAACAGGGAGCATGTAAAAGTAAGGAAATATGAATATAATTTGTAAACATAAGGAAATAGGAGTGTAAATTTATGTAATGTATGCATGTACTATGCTATTTGAGTGGGTCAAATCTCCTGATAGTCCATATAAATGATAGGAATCTTTTGCTCCTTCCAAAAGATTAAGTCCTTTAGATAAGTGTGTCTTTGGTTCCTAGGTTCTATTCCTGTTGATATCATTGTAATTTAGGTTCACATAAAACAAACAATCTTGTATCTCTCTATGCCAGATCAGGGTTTGGTTATTGCCATTACATGAAAACCCATTTGTATGATTCGACAGGAAAACTAGAAATCAAGCAAAATTACTTAGAAATAGACAAAAATGGTTTTACAAGCTGGAATTCTTTTGCATATTTGACTACAGGAAGTTGCTGGTGTAGCATCATTTGAATTTGCCTCCAACTTTGTGACAAATTGGCTTTCTCAGCTTATTAGCTAAGCACTTGGACCTGGATTGTACAAGTAATAATGTGCCGGTAGGCTATCCTTGGCTCAGTTGGACTGCATCTGAATACTGAAGACCACCTGCACAGAATCAGTTGCAGGATCAAGGGACATGATAAGAATGGGATTTGTGATCTACGAATATGTGATAGCTGGCTGCCTCAACCACTAAGCACTAATATCCATTTTGTGTAATTTCTTTTTTCTTTGTTAAAGCTAGAAAGATATTTTAATTTGGTTGCTATGTAAGTTTGAAGCAGGGCAGAAGTGACATAAGGAGAACCCCAGTCCTTTCTATTAAACAATTTGGGCTTGATTCCCTTTAAATTTATAGTAATGATGGCATTCCACCTTTCTATGCTATAGATTTATCTGAAACCTGTTGGTTGTTTGTTTCTTTGTTTTCTTGTTTTTTGTTTTTTTGTTTTTTTTTTCCTTAGGGACCTAGTTGCATCTATGAAGTTTAATATTACTGATTAACCATTTCACTTGATGAGCTGTGACTGGCATTACTTTCTTGGGCAGACAGCAGTTTGTTTGTGCCTTTCAAATTGCTGATTCTGAGGGGGGGGGAAAGGGTTATGGGCCTAATGAAATAAATGTGTTCATGTGTAGGGGCAAGGATATTAATGGAATAGAATCTCCAAGCAGATTTTTAGGGAAATGCTTGCTGTGGAAGCCTGCATCTATCTGCAACTATTTGTCTTTTAATAATTCTTCCTCTAAGAGGTTAAAAGTTATCTGTGTGTCACTCTCCATGTCCTGGGAGCATGAAGAATAATGATAATGATATAATTGGGCTTTGTGACAGCAGCTTTCTAAGACAATGAGCTGTCAGCCTAAATTCTGACAGCATTATAAACCAACATAAACTTTGAGTAGGAAGTAGTGACAAATCAAACTAATGATTGACAGGGCCAATTTATTGGCACACTCAGTACTGCATAAGAGTTTGAGTCTTTAGAAGGAGTTCACTTGCAGATAGCAAAGCAAGAATAGTCACGCTTTATATTAAGCCTAGGAGTTGTTTAAATATGGTTAATGAATTATAGGTGGATGTTTTAATAACTAGATAATTGATTCTTATAGCTAAGTATAGGACTAAGTACAGACAGGCAAAAAGCCTGAGGCTGAATCAATTCAGTCTTTGCAGGCAGGTTAGTCTAAACTTCAGAGATTAAATTGAGAAACAACTGGACAGACATTTACTTCTGATTCAGAAAATGCAGCCACATGCCTGCAG